TAAAGGCTATAACATTTCCACATTTGATGAGAATTATACATCCACAAGTTTAGGAAGTGCAATGAACTCCAAGCAGAAGAAACATAAAGAAAATGGCACTGCCCTGGCCGGTTTGGCTCAGCGGTTAGAGCATCAGCCTGTGGTCCAGAGAGACCCAGGTTCGGTTCCCACTAAGGGCACATACCTAGGTTGCAGTTTGTCCCCGGCCCTGGTTGGGTCGTGCAGGTGGCAACCACTCGATGTGTCCCTTTCACCTCTCTCTCTCTCTCTCTCTCTCTCTCTCTCTCCCTCCCTCCCTCTCTCCCTCCCTCCCTCCCACTCTATTTGAACCAAAAATGGAAAAAATGTCCTCGGGTGAAGATAAAAAAGAAAAAGAAAAAGAAAACGGCACCAAAGCATATTGTAACCACATCACTTAAAATCAGGGACAAAGAGAAAATCTTAAAAGCAGCCAGAAGGGAAAAGACCATTACACAATGAGAAACCAGGTAAGCAGGTTTCTCCTTGTAATCAACACAAGCCAGAGGAAACCAGAGCAACACCTTTAAGATCCTAAATGGAAAACTGTTAACCTAGATTCCATACCCTGTGAAAATAGCTTTCAAAACCAAAGGTGAAATAAGGACCTTTTCAGACATACCAATGCCGAGAGAATCCATTCCCAACAGACCTGCACCACTGTCATGAGTCAGAAGAACCCATCTCCAGCAGACCTGCACCACCATCACGAGAACCCATCTCCAGCAGACCTGCACCACCATCACTATGCAGATGGAGGCCGGAGACCCCAGAGAGACTGCTGCTGCCTCTATAGTGGAGGCCCAGCAACACCCACCCCCCGCCCCCCGCACGCCTGCAAGGGATCTGAAACAGAGACAGGAATTGTGCTATCCTGTCCCTGATCCCGTCCTCCAGCAGGAAGACTGGGACAGACCTGGCTGCAGTGCCTCAGTTTCCCATGTTCTTGACATGACCTGCTCTCCTTCCCTGGTGCTTGCAGGATTAATGAGATGCCGTCTGAAAGGCCAGGAAGGTTCTTCAGTCATTAAGGAGGCTTCCTGGGAGCCCCTGGCCCTCTGTGGGCAGGGTCCACTGACTCCTGGTACTCTCCAAACCAGTTTGCCCATCCTCTGGCTCTAAAGGTCTGTCACAGAGTTCAGTCCTACCTCCCTGATAGACAGGGAGCAAGTCTGTGATTATAGTAACAAATGCTGACCCAGGACCAAAGAGGGGCTGTAATGACTGCTCCTGTCCTCCAAGCAGGGAGTCACTGTCAGCTGGGCCATGGCTGGCATGAGCCATGTTCTAGTCTAGCCTTGGCCAGACTAGTTCCCTCATCTGTAGGTGACTCGCTCCTGTGCCTGGGGCCTCCCTCCAGGCTAGGAGGCTGGTGATGGGATCAGATCCTACTAGGGGCTCTGGTCCCATGTTGTATATGTGTGGGGACACTTCCACCCCTGCCCCGTCCCGACCCCGTCCAGCCTCTCCCCATCTCTTAGAGGCTGTAGCCAAGTGAGGCCAGGGCTCGCCCCTCCTAGGCGTGATGCTACAGGCCCAGCCTCTGGTATGCAGCTGAAACCCCATAGCAGTTTTCTCTCCAGATAAATCGCTGGCTCCTGGGGCAGGGGGATGGGCAGGCAGATGACATTCCATCTTGGAAAGTGGGAGCCCAGTGGGGCTGGACAATGTCATAGAGAGCACAAGAGCCACACAGATGTCTCAGAGCCACACAGCCAGTGGAGTCCTCTGAGACTCAGGGCCCACCCATCTCTCCCCAGCCTGGCCCAGGTGCCCCAGAGGACTCTAGGGTCACAGGGCGGCAAGGCGTCAGAGCTGAAGGAACATGAACAGTCTTCAATAACCATACCCATTTTATAGATGGGATGACCGGGGCTCGGAGAACTTAGGCTTGTGCCAGGTCACACAGAGGTGAAGGCAGAGCGGGGACCTGACCCCGCACTCTTGGCTCCTTATGCTGCGACCTACTCATTCCATTCTAGTCTTTTGGAAAAGAAGGGACCTGATGGTAGCCCTGACAGGAACAGTCTCCCAGGTCCCTGCCTAGGGTCTGCCCGCCATGCTGACGACAGGCCACGCTGAGGAGGTGGCAGGCTGGGTTTCCCCTGACTCAGTGCCAGCAGCCCCGGCCCATGTGCCCTGGTGGGAAGGGTCCAGTGTTCCAGCCAGGTGGCTAGACAGTGGGATCCCTATTCCCGGCCTGGGAAGGGGGCATTCTCCCCGCACTGGTACCAGGGGTGAGAGGAGGATTCGAGGGTGAGGGGAAAGAAGTGACTCATGGGAAGAGAGACGGCAGGAAGGGCTCCCAGGAGGGCAGCCAGGCAAAGGGCTCCGTCAGCATTTGTCAGCATCCGTCAGTGTCTCGGCCCAGCCCCTGGAGCCTGGGAAGCAGCCAGAGCAGGAGCAGGGGAAATGGGAGGATTGCAGGAGCTTAGGTGAGCTGCTCCTCCCTGCCCCACCAGGGCCACACAGGTCGGGCAAAGGACCTGTCCTAGAGCCTGAGGACAACACAGGCCTGGTCCCCACCCCGCCACCCAGAACTAGCTAGATGACCTTGGAGGGACTAACCAGTCAGGCCTCAGTTTCTTTTCTTTTTATTTATTTATTTATTTGGTGGAGATGCCGGGGAGGCCTCAGTTTCTACATCTGAAAAATGGGGCAGATAACACTACGTGAGATCATAAAGTGCCTCACACTCCATAAACAGTAGCTACTGTTATTACAGAAGGCTTAAGCATATACCATGCTGCCCTTGGGTGCCAGGACAGACGTGAAAGGGAAGCAGATGGGCTGGGAACTGGGGGGGAGTGGAGGGGGGGAGTCCCTACCTTCTCTGTGCCTCAGCATCCCCTCTGAAGGATGAGGCACTTGGTCTCTGTTGCTTCTGAGTCCCCTCCTGTTGGGCCTGCGAGGTTCCCTGCTGTCTGGGAAGGTGTCGATCTCAGCAGTGAGCCCCATTCTTAGAGAGATGAAAGCAGGGAACACTGCCTACCTGTCAGGTGAGCTGCAGAAAGCACTGATGTGGTACCACACAGACCAGGGTTTAAACCTGAGACGGGCTTCTTCCTGCTTATGTCACCTTAGACAGGTGACACCCGTAACCTTGTGGGGCTTTTGCGGGGAGCAAATAAAGTTATGTGAGGGCCCAGGGGACTACATGGAGTAGCTGGGTCTCAGCCCTGGCCACAGAGACATGGGGAGGCCACCCTGAGTGCCCAGCCTAGCCCCAGGCACCCCTATCTGGCCCCATCACTGAGCCAAGCTGTCTGTCTTTCTGTCTGGGGGAGATTAGACTCTGGCTGTTCCCATGCCAAGCTGGGATCTGGTGTCTACCTCCTTCCTACTCCCAGTGGGGAGGAGAGGATAAAAGGAGGGGGAACCCTGACACAGCAGGTCAAGTTTCCTTGCCTCAGTTTCCCCAATTTTATAAAGGTGGTGGAAGCTAGGTAATGGATCCCACTAGGCCCTCCCAGGGGACTGGGTTTTGTGACCTCAAGTCAGGCACCCATGTCAGCAGCACCTTTTTATCCCATATCAGGTGTGGGACAGGTTATTCAGGCTAGGAAGGCCCCTTCCTCCTCCCCCCTTCTCCTCCTCTTCCTCCAGCTCTTCCTCACTCCCATCACCTGATTCTATCTTCACAACAGCCAAAGAGACAACTTTTACCCTCACTACCTCCATTTTACAGACCAGAAACCCGAAGCCCCGGAGCTGTCTGGGACAGTCTTTGACTTGGCCAGCTCCCTCAGGAGACAAAACTCCACATTTCTGGAAACCGAAGCTGTGGCCACCTCCTCAGCTCCGGGTCCACTTCTGGTTTCTTTGCAGAAGAGCCTCCCCAGGCCTGTCTGTCAGCCACGATGGTCCCCAAAGCCAATGTTCAGTTTTTGTGTAATGTGCTGCCCTCTCTGGGCCTGAAACAGTGAAAGGTTAGATTCCTCTAGAAATACCTCACCCATTACCCAAGGCCAGGACAGACATTGCTAATCTTGCCAATCACTCACTGCTCTCGACTGAGGCAGGACCTGGCCTCAGAATCCTTCTCAACACAGCTAGCTAGGCAGGTTTCATCAGCCATGTCAGGATGTGCTTTGAAACCATGAAAAAGGCGCTTCCACTCCGCAGGACAGAGCATCTGCTCAAGGTCACAGCTCTCCAACAATGGCCTGGCAGTCTCCTCTCAAAATATGTGTCAGTGTGTCAACTGAGTATGGCTACCCATGCCATAGACACTGCACAGCTTGGCAGGGGTCTGGAAGGGAGGGCCATACAATGCTTGAGGTCTCTTCCAGTGGTGAAATCCAACCTAGGTGGACAACCCTCAGCTGAACTCACTCTGCTCCCACCCTGAAGACCAAGCCATCCCATCCCCCACATCCTTGGCCGAAAGGTTCTACCACTGCAAAGCTCATGAAGAGTCTCAGAGAGGATGAGCAACAGGCTAAGTTGCCCAGCACACCCAGTAAACAGACACATTTGAACTCAGACCTCCAGATCAGCCTCAGAAGGACTCAGGCAACTTCTCAGTCTCCATAACTACTCCCCACCCAACAAAAGCAACATTAGCGAGCTCACGGTGTGAATGACAGCCTGCACTTCTCCAGGCTGAATCAGAGCCATCTTCCAGCGACAGTGAGAGAAAGCCAAATAACCCCTCCCCACCCCATGCCACTGCAGCATCTTCTTCTGGGAAACCTGCTCACCAGGACTCTGGAAGTCAGAAATACCCCCAACAATGCACAAAGGCCCCTTGAGACGCAGCAGTTCACCGTGACCTGCCAGAGGATCCAGGTACCTACCCCTCTGCAAAGAATGAGAACCCCATGAAAGCAGGAAGGAGGACAGCCAGGAGACCCTCAGGAGACTAAGGTGGACTCTCCAAGGGGTCGGAGGGAGTGCTCACTTAAACGGGAGATGCTGGAGAGCAAGCCGAGCCCACTGGGCCAGCTCCCTCTCCGGGACCCCACCAGTGGCCGGCTCACCTTCTGGGCCTGGCTGATCATCTTGCGCACCACCTCCTTGACGTGGGCCTGCCCGTCCAGGGGCGGCTGCATGTACACGCTGGCCCTGGTCACACCGCGGTAGGCGATGGTGTCGGGCCAGCCCAGGTCCAGCTGTGGGATGGAGCGGTCTGACTTCTGGGGCCAGTACTCCAGTGAGGGCGGTGGCTCCGCCTCAGTTAGGTCTCCACCTGCCCCACTGGCCTCCTCTCGGTCTCCGACTCCATTGTCCTCAGGCCCCTGGGGGCAGCCCGAGTCCCCAGGGTCCTGAGAGCCTGGGTCGTACACTTCAATGGTCTCCAGGATGCGTTTGAGCTCCAGTTCCGAGAGGAAGTCCCGGATGTTCTCCCGATTCAGCACCTCGTAGAAGGCCTCGGGGCCGTGGGCCGCCAGGGCCTCCAGCGCCAGACGCTGCTCCTCACTGTAGAAGAACTCCGGCTTGGACTCGCTGGAGCGCCAGTTGACGTGGCTGTTGTCCAGACACTGCACCTGGGAGAGGGCCATGGTGCCACCTGCCTCGCGCTTCTGCCGGGTAGTTTGCGGGCGGCTCGGCGCGGCCGGCTGGGTCGCGGTGCGCTCCGGGGCCTCAGCGCGGTGGTCCCTGCGTCTCTGCCCTGCGCCCGAAGGAGAGCCAAGGGGAAGGCCGGGTCAGGTTAGCGGGCGGGCAGGACTGGGGTGACAGAGCAGGGCTGAAAGAGGGGTGGGACACAGCCCAGCGCCGGTGTCTGTGCCAGCAGGGACAGGGCACTCACGCCCCAGATTCCGTAGCTGCCTGAGGTCCTGGGCTACTTCTGGGGGTACCCGGGGCTGGCAGGGAACTTCCCAGAAGTTTCCGGTAGTGGGCGGCAGGAAGCCGAAACGGGACGGGCACTGGCTCTGTTCGGTGACGCCCGCATTCTGAGGGCTTCCGGGAAGAAAGAGGGTCTCAAAAGCCCCGGGACCGGGATGGGCCACCCACGGGGCCGGGCCGCAGGTGGCTGGGGACGCGCGGCTGGCAGGCGGGGCGGGCGCACGGGGCCGGGGCCGGGGGCTCGGGCGAGGACTTACCGGAGACCGCGGGCGCGTCGCAGACCGGCGAGGAAGCCTGAGGGTGGAGCGCTGCGCACAGGCGGTGGCGGGCCGGTGACTAAGTGCCACCCCGCCCACCCCGCCGCCACCTGAGGTCACGTGCGGCCCGGGGGCGGGGCCGGAAACTGATTCACACCGCCTGCGGACACGGACCCGCCTCCTCCGCTGCCCCAGTCCTAGGTGACAGAGCCCAAGTCCAAGAGTTCTTGGAACATTGCAGCCCAGCGAGGGTCAGTGTTCTTCCTGAGGTCACACAGCAAGTGAACAGCTTGGCACCCCACCCCCACCCACAGGGCCTGTTGGTAATCCTGGTCCAACCCTACCTATGCTGCTCCCCAGGTGAGCCGGGAAGTCCATGGATATGCCCAGCTGTCCAGTTGTGGACGTCGAGTTGGGGTACTAGGGTGGGAGTCCCCAGGGCCGGGGTAGAACACAATCTGACCCAACCTTAGGAGCCTTCACATAGCTTGGTGCGGACGGAGCAGGAACCAGTTCTTAGTGAGGAACCCTGATCCTGGCTGAGAGGGGTCTGCCTCCCCAAGGAGTGATCCTGCATCGTGAGCAGTGCCCCACCTGAGGGGGGAGAGCCAGAGAGGGCTGCTGCGGGCTGGGATTGGGCCCAGCTCTCGGCACAGCGTCCCTGCGGCTTGGACCCTGGTTATGGGAGGTGTGGGGACCACATCTGAAAGCAGACTGCCAGGGCAGGGACAACAAAGCCCATTAAACCTGGCCAAACAGCCCACACCCCATTTTGTGCGACAACCAGGCAGCCAGGCACCTGGCCCAGCCCTTCCCTCCCACCCCCTACCACTTGCCCTGGATGGGGCTGCTCTGTGCTCCGGCTGGGACCGGGACCCTGAGGACACTGCTCAGTGTTGCTGAGGGCTGGAGCCCCTGCTCCCTCAGGACCCTCACTACCTTGGTCTGCCTGTCAGGCCTCACTTGGGTCCACTGCCCTGAGCAGTGACTGCTTTCTCCCTACCCCAAGACCCCTGTGGTCTCCATCACTAACCCCTCAAGCCTCACATCGTACGCTCCGCCCTGGCCCCAGGGCAGCATCCCATGGTGTCTGAACACAGTGGTCCCAGAGACCAGGCCCCTGTGTCTCCCTGAGCACAGTCTCACAAGTGCCCCTAGCTCCTCCCAGGTGTACGAACACACACCTGCATCACCCTCACCAGGCAGTCTCAGTGGATGGGTACTGCCCTGAAAGTTCTGAAGCCTGATTTAGAGCCTCTCTGCCACTGGGGACCCAGAAAATGACTGTCTAAGCCTCTGTCCCTCCTTTGTTCATACCCCAGCACAAAGGCCCTGGGGCTCATAAGGGAGTTCTGGCTCTCAGGGGTGAAAGGCCACTAGCCCTCCAACTTCTGTGGTTACCTGCCCATAACAATAGATTCTCAGGGAGTTTTTCTAAACAGAAAAGGAGCTTACATGTGGCCTTCACCCAGTTTCTCCGGTGGTGACATCTGGTATAACCATAGTATAATAACATCACAGCAAGAAAGTTGATGTTGGTGGGACCCAGAGCTTGTTCAGATTTCACCAGTTTACATGTACTTGTAGGTGTGTGCAACCTCTTCACATGTGCAGATCTGTGTAACCACCATCACAACCAAGATGCAGAACTGTCTGTCACCACCAAACTCTCCCTCTTTCAGCCATACCCCACCCCAGCCCTAGCCCCTGGCAGCCACTGACCTGTTTTTCTGTCTCTGGCATTTATCTAGGTCGGTGTATGGTTTGATAGCTTGCTTCATTCTGTGGCTGACTAGTACTCCATGGTGTGGATGGACCCCCATTTACTTAACCATATCATCTATTGAAGGACATGTGGGTTTCCAGTTTGGGGCTATTATGAATAAAGCTGCAACGAACATTCATACACATAATAAATTATGTGTAATTTACATTCCCACCAACAATGTAGAGTGAGCCCATGTCTCCACATCCTTGCTAACACAGTATACTGCTGCTCTTGTTTCTTTTAGTCTTCCCCCATAGATGTGTGCTAGTTTCTTACTGTGGTGTGCATTTACATTTTCTCAATGACACTGACCATTTTTCATGTGCTTATTTGCTGTCCATAGGCACTCTTCAGTGACATGTCTATTCCTGTGTTTTGCCCATTTTCTAACTGGACTGTTTGGTGTTTAGTGCTGAGTTGTGAGAGCACGTTATGCGGTCTCCACACAGGCCTTTGTTAGGTCCGTGGTCTGCAGATGTACTCTCCTGTCTGTTGCTTTTGTTCCCTCCGAGTTTATAATACAGCTGATTCTTGAACAATGTGGATTAGGGGCGCTGACCTCCCATCCCATGCAGTTGAAAATCTGCATAAATTTTGATTCCCCCAAATCTTAACTACTAATAGCCTACTGGTAACATACTTGGTTAACACATATTTTGTATGTTATATGGATTATATGCTGTGTTCTTAAAATAAAGTAAGCTAGAGAAAAGAACATGTTAAGAACATCATAAGGAAGAGAAAATTCATTTAAAGTATTTATTGAAAAAAATCCATCTATAATTTCAAACCCATGTTGTTCAAAGGTCAACTGTATAATATTATCAATTATAATCACTATAGTGTACATTAGACCCTTAGAACTTACTCATAACTGGAAGCTTGTACCCCTTAACCCACATCTCCCCTTTTCCTCTGACTCCCTAACCCCTAGTAACCACTATTCTAATCTCTGTTGCTATGAGTTTGGCATTTTTTAATTCCAAATATAAGTGATATCATACAGTATTTGTCTTTCTCTGACTTATTTCACTTAGTATAATATCCTTAGGTCCATCCATGTTGCTGCAAATGGCAGGATGTCTGCCTCATGGCTGAATAATATTCTGTCAATAATATAATATATATGCATTATGTTATATGTGTTTATATGATATAAATATATGTGTATATATGTGCATATGTGTATATATATATATTTGCCATCTATATGTACTCTTCAGTGAAATTATATATGTGTGTGTGTGTATATATATATACATACATATATATAAAATCTTCTTTATCCATTTACTTGTTAATAGATAGTTAGGTTGTCTTCATATCTTGGCTATTGTGAATAATGAACATGGGAGTGCAGATATCTCTTAGAGGTAGTGTTTTTATTTCCTAAAGATATATAACCTAGAGGTGGGATTGCTGGATTATATGATAGTTCTATTTATAATTTTTGTGAGGAACCTCCCTGTTTTTCATAGTGGCTGAACCAATTTACATTCTCCCCAGCAGTGTACAAAGGTTCCCTTTTATCCACATCCTCGCCAATGCATATTATCTCTTGTCTTTTTGATGCTAGCCATTCTAGAGGTGCAAGGTGATAGTTTTTTTGTGGTTTTGATTAGTATTTCCCTGATGATTAGTGAAACTGAGGACTTTTTCACTTACCTGTTGGCCATTTGTATGTTCCTTTGGAAAAATGTCTACTCAGTTCCTCTGCTCATTTTTAAGTCAGATTGTTTTGTTTGCTATTGAGTTATATGAGTTCTTTATATATTTGGAGGTATTAACCCTTTATCAGATAAATGGTTTGCAAATGGTTTTTTCCAATCTGTAGGTAGCCATTTCATTTTGTTGATGGTTTCCTTGGCTGTGCAGAAGCTTTTTAATTTGATGTAGTCCTGCTTGTTTGTTTATTTTGTTTTTGTTTTTTTGTTTTGTTGCCTTTTCTTTCAGGGTCAAATCCAAAAAAAATCATTGCCAAAACTGATGTCTAGGAATTTGATGGTTTCAGGTCTTGTGTTCAAATCTTTCATCTATTTTGAGTTGATGTTTGTGTATGGTGTAAGAGATGGACCTAGTTTCATTCTTCTGCTTGTATCTGTCCAGTTTTTGCAACACCATTTAGTGAAGAGTCTGTTCATTCCCCACTGTACTGTATATTCTTGGCTCCTTTGTTGTAAACAAATAGACTACACATGCATGAGTTTACTGCTGGGCTCTCTATTCCATCCCATTTATCTATGTTTCTTATTTTGTGCCAGTACCATACTGTTTTGATTACTATAGCTTTGCAATACAGTTTGAAATGAAGGAATGTGATGCCTCCAGCTTTGTTTATCTTTCTTAAGATTGCTTTGGCTATTTGGGGTATATCTTATGGTTCCATATAAATATTCCAGAATTATTTTTTCTATTTTTGTGAAATATATCATTGGAATTTTTATAAGAATTGCATTGAATCTATAGCTCACTTTAGATAGTATTGACATTTTAACAGTATGGATTCTTCTAAACCCCGAGGATGGAAAATCTTTCCATTTATTTGTGTCTTCTTCAATTCTTTTCATCAGTGACATAAGTTTTCAGTACACAGATGTTTCACTTCCTTTTATTTCTAGATATTTTATTCTTTTTGATGTGATTGTAAATGGGATTGTTTTCTTAATTTCTCTTTCTGATAGTTCACTGTTAGTGTATAAACCCCCAATGATTTCTGTGTATTGATTTTGTTCCCGCAACTTGACTAAAGTCATTTCTGTAGCTTTTCTTTTCATCCTTTTCACAGGCATCTTACACAGAGCAAACATTTTTAATTTTGATGAGGTCTTATTTATCATTTTCCTTTTTTTGTATCTGAAAACTCTTCACCATGCCCTAGGTCTCAAAGATATGCTCCTATCTTTTTTCCAAAAGTGTGATAGTTTTACATGTAGATCTGTGATCTATTTCGAGTTAATTTTTGTGTAAGGGGTGAAGTTTAGGTTGGAGTTGAATTTTTGGCCCATGGATGTCCCAGAAAGGTTTCACAGAGGCGAAAACAGCTTCAGAGAATAATCTCACCCAGGACCCTAGGTAAGGGATTGGAGAGCTGAACTCAAACCGGCTGCTGTGTGCTTTTCTTCTCCCAACTGCGACATTAACATCTGGATGGCTCCCAGGGGTGAGCCAGGCCTGGTTGGGGAGTGGGGAGCATCTTGATTGACCCTCAGGGTGGTATTTCCAGGGGCCAGCCTGGGAAAGGGTCTTGCAATAAACAAACACCAGCAGAGCCTGCCATGCATTTGCTTGCGCTGGTCCCTGCTGGGCCCCAGGCTCCCCCGGGCCCACGTCATAAACTAGTCATAAACTATCGGGAGGCAGGACAGACACAAGGCGCAGAGTTGTTGGTGCCATGGAGGAGGTTGCCCTGAAGCTTCAGGAGCCCAGATACCCACAGAGTTGAGGAGAATGAGTATGGGTTCAGGAAGGAGGAAAGGGTGTTCCAGGGAGCAGGAACAGCAAGCACAGAGGCCCAGAAGTGTGGGTGAAATCGGTGGGAGTGAGGGTAGCCAAGTGGGCAGAAGTAGAGCCGCGGGATCCTTACTGCAGGAGATGGAGAGCCCCAGAAGGGTGTGAGCACGGAGAAGCAGTGGCAGATGGTGGTTTTAGAAGTTCCCTCTGCTGCTCACAGGGAGGGTGGGTTGGAGGGGCAGGGTGGTGCAGTTCCCCTCATCACGAGGCCCAGTAGCCGGACTCAGCATCAGCTGCAGGCGGGAGGACTTGGGGGAAAGGAGAGGAACAACTCCCAGGCTTCTTGTGTGGGCCTTTGGCCGGATGCAAGTGCTAATAGAAACATGGAGCCCAGGTGGGCAGCTCCTGGATCCACAGAAGCCGGGGCCCTGGCAAACCCAGAGGTCCTTGCTCAGCTCCCTGGCCCTCACTGTCCAGGGACTGTTCTCTCCTGAGTTGGCACATTCGGGACTTTGTTTAAGTGGCATCACCTCTGCTGCTGTCATGAAGGAGGGGTTGTTCTTTCTTGAAGTTCAGCACAAACACTTGGGCAGGTGAACTGAGCCAGCCGTGCTCAGAGGCGGTGCCCCATGGGCTGAATAAACTGAGCCAGAATCTCCTGACTCAGGCTTTCGGAGCGATTATGTGTCTGTGACTCTTCATGTCCCTCCCAGGAGGGCTGGGTCCTCCGGGCACCAGAGCCAACCAGTCCAAGCCTAGAACTTGTCAGGAGGGACCCATCACCTATCCTCTGAATGCTGGACCCTAGTCACCCCAGAGTCCTGCCATGGGGCCCTGGGCTCTGTTCTTGGTCTGATTGCGTGTCACAGGCAAGTTATGCCTTCTCTGCGGGGAGGTGGGACGGGGGCGGGTAGAGGGGGAAGCTGGATGGAACAGTGCCTGAACTCCTTCATGGGTCTTTCTGGGATCCATTCTCCCTCTCTTTCTTTTCTCCTGTCCCTTTCCTACTTTCTCACTAGCTTATTCACGCATTCATTCACAAATGTTCACAGAGCATTTCTTTAGCACCCCTCCCTGAACTAGGTGATACCTGGGACTGGGAAATAATTCAAACCCATTGTCCACCCTTGGGGAGCACCCAGTCTGGTAGGGAAGATAAAATATGCAAGCAAACAACTGTGGTTCAACCCTTGGCCTAGGAGCATTTAGGAGGAAGCTACTCTGCCCTGGGGGAGAGTGGGGAGGGAGTCAGGGAAAGTCTCAGAGGACAAGCTCTTTGCAATGGGCTGTGAAGTGGGAGGTAAACACAGGAGGGATGGGGCACCCGGAGGAGGAGTTGAAATGCCGGGTGTGTATGAGAAAATACAAACAGGTCAGGGCGGCTGCTGCATGGGTGCTGGATGGGTGGACCTGGGACCAGCTGTCAAGGGCCTGGAATGCTGTGGAAAGGATTTTTTTCCCCAGAAAGCCATGGGCTCCAGGGACGGGGGAGGGAGGATAGGGGACCATCACTGGGACAAATGGGGAAAGGGGGTGAATCTGATTGGACACACTGAGTGCAAGGTGCCTGGGGGATGACAGGGAGCAGTTGTAGAAACCTGGGCTCCAGAGAGGCTGGAGGTAGGGCCTGGGTGAGGGACGCTGCTGCTCCAGCCCTTCTGACCTAGAGGAAAGGATCTGAGACACACACCTGCCCCTGTGGGTTGAGCATCTGAGAAGGGACCTTTCAGAAGGGGCATTTGGAGGGGGCTCTGCTTAACCCAGGAGTGCCCTGTCTGCACAGGGAGCCCCGAGCTGCGAGAACATTGATGCCTGCTTTACCCCGAATAGGCCTGTGTGGCCCAGCAGCTCCTTCCATCCCTCTGGTCACCATCCGGGCAGCTTCTGCTCTAAGTTTCCTGTAACTGCCATCTCTTCCTGTGCTCCGAACTCCGCGGGCCTCTGACGAACATCCCAGGGGAACGGAGCCAAAGGTGTTTTAAAAAGTGTTCCCTGGAGGAACACGTGCACATGGGGTTAGTGTTACTTGTCACCTACACTGTGCTTATGAGCCAGGCGGAGGTGGACCCCCAACTGCGCGGGCGGTGGAAGAGCAAACCCCACCAGACAGAGGCTCCCGGGGTACTTCCCCCAGGGCAGCCCCTGGACAGTGCCGCGTTTCCGCCCCAGACAGGCTCTTCCAGCAGCTGGCAGGGAAGGCCTGGGTTTAGGTTCTGTCCAGGGCTGGCTGAGGAGGACATTCACTAAGTCCTCCATCCACTCACCAGGTGAGCTGTGTGGGGGACGGCCAGAGCGAGCAAGTCCAAGTCCCCAGCCTTACCAGACTCTCCACTAGGAAAGAGGCAAGAAACAAGCCTGCCCACGTCGTCCAGGGGAGAGGAGGGGGAGAAGGGCAGAGAGCATTGCTTCAGCGGCGGCCGGCCTCTGGGAAGGCCTGGGGGAGCCACTGCAGCCGGAGGGCCAGAGGCCTCAGCTGAGGGAGCCCGGAGGGAGAGGACCCTGAGGGCCGGCCCAGGGGCCGGAGGGGCTCGAGCACTGCGGCATGAGAGCTCCCAGGGCAGGGAGAGGCCTCTGGAAGCTCCTGGACACAGTTCAGGGCGAGGGTCCGGGAAATGCCCCTCCCCTGGTGCTCCCATTCCAAGGTTGGGGGAAGGTTTGCCCTTTTGGGGCTGGGGGCAGAAAGGCAGAAGGCAGAGTCGTCAGGGCCTTAGCGACCAGAGTAGCTCTCAGAGGCGAGCCCCCTCCTTGTGAGCCAGACCAGGAAACACGCCCAGGGCCAAGCAGCAGCTGGTCAGAGGCAGGGACAAAGCAGTCCGGCCAGGCTCCAGCCCTTGGCCCAGGTGACCCCGCCCAAGTGCTCCTGTTGGTCTGAGGGGCAGTGTGGGACAGTGTGGGACTCTGGGCACCTCTCTCACACAGACGACGTGGGCTGCGTGATGCCGTCCGAGTGTCTGCGGGCCTGCGGGGCCGAGATCGGCTGCTCCAACATTGCCTACCCCAAGCTGGTCATGGAACTGATGCCCACCGGTGAGCTTCTGGGGGGCCTGGTAGGGATCAGCGACAGGGCTGTGGGGGCCATTCTGGACCCAACGTGATGCCGTGTGGCATCCAGATAGGATGTTCTGCTCAGCGGGGAAGGGAAGACAGTGCTTATAATAGAAGCCCTCATGTAGTGCTCACAATGCGCCAGGCACCCATTCCTGGCTCCCCCAGGAAACTGCCTGTTATCGTCCCCATCTAATTTATTGATTTTCTTGTTAATCCACATCCAAGGATAATTTTTTCATTGATTTTTTTTTTAGAGAGAGAGAATGGAAGGGAAAGAGGGAGGGAGGGAGGGAGGGAGAGAGAGAGAGAGAGGCATCTTTGTGAGAGAGACATATAGACGGTTTCCTCCCAAACATGCCCTGATCAGGGCTGGGGATGGAACCTGCAACCCAGGTCCATGCCCTTGACCAGGAATCAAATCCATGACCCGTCAGTGCCCGGGCCAACGCTCCAGCCACTGAGCCGCGCCGGCTAGGGCCTCGTCCCCAGTTTAGAGGTAGGGAAACTGAGACGCAGAAAGGTTAAGCGACTTGTGAGCAAAGTCAGGGGGCAAGTGAGTTGCAACGCTTCGATCTGAACCTGGATAATCTGCCTCCAGAGCATGTCCTCGCAACCTGTGTTGTCCCGTCCCTCGAGAAAGGGACGGGACACTTTCTCTTCTTTCAGGCCCACTGGGTGCCAAACACTTTTACAACTTGCTGCTCTCTTTTAAGGCTGTGAGGTAGAGCTATTAGCTGCATCCTACAGATATGGAAACTGAGGCACGGGGGTGGGAGTTAGTGCTTGTCCAAGGCTACAGAGTGGCTGGGACGCAAACCCCAGTCTGTCTGGCCCCAAGCCCACTGCTTACTCTGCCGAGATCAGGAACTCAATCCCCCCCCCCCCCTCGCCTTGAACCTTCACCTCTGCCTCCCCCTGAGACTCTGTGCCAACAGGTAAAACCAGGGTTTGGGCCTTTTCCATGTTTCTCGTGGCAGCAGTGGACCTGCCGGTGTGATATGGGGTGATGAGGGCCCAGCCACAGGAAGGGTGCAGCAGACAACAGCGGGGGTGTGGGAGGCCCCACCTAAGCAGGAGGAGGCAGCTTTCTGAGACCCTCTACAGCCCGGTTTCACTTCTTGATTCCCAGACCCTGTGGGCCCAGCCCCGCCCTCTGGCCGCCCTGTGGAAGCTGCCCAGCCGGCCCAGCCTTCCCTCCCTCCCAGGAGCCCAGTCCAGGGGATGTTCGCGCACAGACCTGGGATCAGATCTTGGCTCTGCCACTTGTTGGCTGAGATATGTGGGGCATGTCACTTCCCTGCTCAGAGCTCTGGTGTCCTCATTTGTGAATTGGAGATAATGACATCTACCCACCCTCAGCGTTGTTGCTGGGATTAAACATAATTGAGGGAGCTGCCTTGGCTGCGGTGTGGGTTCCTTGCTGGGCCCTGCCCTGTCCTTCTGTTCTGGGGACTGTCTCAACCCCCAGCACGGACACCCAGCTGCCACTGGGCTGCAACCCCTCTCTAGGCCTTGAGCTCCCTGTCTGAAAAATGGGTGGAGAATAGCCCTGAGTTAATCCACTTCTCTGAGCAAGAAAAGGAGGTGGTCCGGCTGCTGTGGCTCAGTGGTTGAGCATCGACCGACCCATGCACCAAGAGGTCGCCGGTTCAATTCTCGGTCAGGACACATGCCCGGATTACTGGGCCCAATTCCCAGTGAGGGGTACGTGGGAGGCGGCTAATCAATGTTCTCTTTCATCGATGTTTCTCTCTCTCTTCCTCTGCCTTCCTCTCTCTCTAAAAATTAATAAAGGAAAAAAAATTTTTTTTAAAGAAAAGGAGGGTGGAGAGATAGATGTTTTTGGGAAACACTGTTTTGAACTCACTTTCCCTTGGGCCCATCCCAGTCAGCCTGACAAATGGACAGCTGGTCAGATGCAGAGCCTGGCGACCCCACCAGGCAGCAAGCGGCACCTGTAAGGCTGTGCCCTCCCTGTCACATGTCCCAGGACGGGGCGGAGGACAGGCAGGGGACCTGTGGAAGTGGTGGGTGGGGAGTGCGGGGTGGTTAGACACTTGAAGCAAAAGCATAAGCTGCCTTGAGACAGACTTGCATCAAGACCCAGCGAAGGGAGGCTGGACCAGCATGGAGCCCTGGAGCCCTGAGTCCTCCTCACCCTCAGCCCCTCCTCAGCCCAGGACTCCCAGAAGGCTTTGCACAGCAGGGCCTCGCCCTTGGGGGGGGGGGGGCATCACTCATTTTTAGCCAATCGCAAGTGGATTTTTCTATCCCCCATTAAGATGGGGAACCAACATCTCCTTTCCCACAGAGCCAACAAGAAAGGGCCCAGTCCCCTGTCCCAGCGGCTAAGCCACTGCACCCTGCCCAGAGCGTGACCTCCAAGCCGAGGGTCCCATCCCAGGCCTTCCTCAGTCCCCACTCCCCGCAGAGTTCTGCCTCCGGCCTGCTCCTGGTCCCGGGCATCTGTCTTCCCTCTCTGAGCTTTCACGTTCTCACCTGTCACGCGGTAGATACCCTCCGTCAGGTGAAGTCGTGGGTACAACGTGTGCTGCGAACTGCAAGGCTCTGCAGAAATGAGGCTGATAACACACAGCAACGGAAGCAGTTAGAGTTGTGACTGTTTTTGCCGGCAAAGCCACAGGCACAGGAAGCACATCGTTCTCAGCCTCCTGGTTCTGGGTCTCCCTCCCCTCACCTCGAACACCTCGGCCTCCTCCCCCCAGGCCCCACGCTGGCAGGGACTTGTGGGTGGCGGCTCAGCACACGGTGCTGATGGTGGGGGCGCACACCGGGGACGCGGGCAGGAGGGGCTGGGGGCCCAGGGCGAGGGCCAGGCGGGGGCCACAGCCGTGTCTGACCCACAGGTCTGCGGGGACTGATGATCGCGGTGATGATGGCCGCACTCGTGTCGTCGCTGACCTCCATCTTTAACAGCAGCAGCACGCTCTTCACCATGGACATCTGGAGGCGGCTGCGGCCTCGTGCAGGCGAGCGGGAGCTGCTGCTGGTGGGACGGTACGGTGAGGGTGCTGGCACCCGGCAGGGGCTGAGAAGTGGGCTTCCCCAGCCTCATGCCAGCCCAGGGCCCCTCCCTGCCCCGAAGGCAGGCTTTGAGCATGACTAGAAGTTTGTCAGTTGGACAAGGGGGGCTACCAGGAAGGAGAGAAGAGCCCGGAATGTCCTGTCCATCCACCTCCCACACTGCTCTCCCGGCCACCCCTTCACCGTCCCAGCCCTCCTCCGGGGTGCACCCCTCCCCTGAGCGCCATCTCCAAAGGAGGGCTCCCTCCTTGAGCCGTCCCAGAGACCTTCCTGTCTTCCCCAGATCTGCGCCCCCAGTCCTTACTGACTCCCACTGCTCCAAAGGGACCCCCGAGCCAGAGCTCAGCAATGACCACACTCAGGCCAAAGCTGCCCCTCCGGCCCCTGTGCCGCTGGCCCACTGCGCTTCTGCCCATTTTCCTAGCCCTGCTTGTCCCCCCCTCTTACCTCGATGACTCACCCCAAGAGTTCCCTCTTCAGCCCTCCCTGACACCGCTGACCAGGGATGAGCCCCTCTCCCCTCAATGCCTCCCAAAAGGGACCATTGCTAGATTCCTTCACAGAACGTGTGACGCGTTAATAGGTCCAACTTGTCTCCCCAGTGCCTCTCCCCACAGGAGCAGACAGAGGGCTGTACCGCCCAGCCCTCCATCCCCATGGGTGGCCGACCGGCAGTCCTCTGGGGTAAACTCAGCAATGGATGGAGTTGGTCTCCGAGTGTGCGTGTGACTGTTTACTCCCTCTCTCAGGTCCCCACCTCTTGTCTCCTGCTGAGCCAGATGGCTCCTACTCCACTGATTGAGGGGCCGGCCTTCTGGTGCTGAGCTTGACCAACAGTACACGCTCTGCCCGCCAGCCCCTGGCGCCCGGCGGCAGGGAGGGGTCCCCCAGAGCTCCAGGCAGTTGTCCTGGTGATGCAAAGCAGTCAGCTTCTATGGGAAGGGCCCTGTTGGGACACGCCAGACAGCAGGCAGGTGTGAGCTCATCTGCAGGCTCAGAGCCTCCACAGCAAGGAGCCTCCCTCCAGCCTTGCAGGGCCCCGGTGTCAGCACCTTGCCCGCCTCTCCCTGTCACGTGGCTCCTGGCCTGCCTGTCGGCTCTGTCCTGGAGCCCACCGCTGACTGACAGACTTTCTCCCTAAGCCTGCCCGTGTTGGCCATTCTGGAAATTGGGACGTCCACGCCTTCCTGTCGCTGTGGCCTCAGCCCTCTGGTTGGGACACTGGTGCCCTCGGAGTCTGCCTGGGGGCCCCCATGTGCCCTGCCTGCTCGTTTCTAGCCTCCTCAGAAGCAGGCTTCTCTCCTGCTCCCGCCTGAAGCCAAAGTCATGAACTGGCCTCTCCTCTGTGCCAGCTCACTCCAGCCACTGTGCCCTTGACCCTCATTCCCAGCTCTTCTACCCAGTCAAGCCCCACCCTGCCCTCCTCAGGCCCTGCCAGCCTCCTGGGCACAAGGCTGTGCGGGCAGACGGCTCCCCTTCTCTGGGCCCAGGTTTCCCAGCTGCCAGTCTGGTGGGGTGGAAAGGGCCCGATGCCAGGGTTCAGCTCCACCGACAACTCCAGCCTCCTCTGGCCTAAAGCAACACCGTTCCAGCTGTGTTCCCTAAGCCGTGCGGGGTCTGGGATGCGGAAGCCTCGGTTCAAGGGATATGGGACTTACACAGGGGCAGCAGAACTCTCCCAAAGCCGCGGAGGAGGCCACAGTGGGGCAGGACCAGCAAGGGCATGCTGGTGACCCCAGGCCAGAGGAGGTGTCCCAGGTCTGGGGGCCCTGATCCTTGCAGCCCCAGGCCCAATCCCCATCCTTCTGCTCCTTGGTTCCCTCCCTTGCTACCCCTTCTGTCTCTCTTCTCTATTACTTGCAAGTAGTGCCCGAGGCCTCCTGGTGCCCTGCCTTGATCCAGGCAATATGGGAATCCAGAGAGCTCTCAGAGCTCCCCAACCTCAGACCTGAGGGGGCTCCCTGCACCACAGCTACAGCCCAGGACAATGGAGGGGCCGGTCACCCTGCCAGCTGTGCCAGGAAGGCATCCTGGCAGAGGAAGGCCTCGAGCTGGGCCTGGGAAGAGGAGACGTTTGCCGGGACAGGAGCTGAGAATGGCGTTCCAGGCAGAAGGAAGAGCCCCTGGGTTGGGGTCCCTCTGACAGCCCAGTGGTAGCTGAATCAGAAGAAGAAACCTGCTCTGGCTGGTTTCTCAGGGGTTAGAGCGTCGGCCTGCGGTCCAGAGAGACCCGGGTTCAGTTCCCGCTAAGGGCATGTACCTCGGTTGCAGTTTGTCCCCGGCCCTGGTTGGGTTGTGCAGGTGGCAGCCACTCGATGTGTCCCTTTCACGTCAATGTTTCTCTCTCTCTCTCTCTTCCTCACCCTCCTGCTCTATCTGAACAAAAAATGGAAAAATGTCCTCGGGTAAGGATAAAAAAAAAAGAAGAAGAAGAAGAAACCCTAGCCCTGGCCGGTGTGGCTCAGCTGGCTGAGCATCATCCTGTGCACCAAAGCGGGTTGGGTTCGACCCCCAGTCAGGGCGTGTGTGGAAGGCTCTCTCTCTTCCTCCCTTCCTCAGGGAGACGGCGGGAAGGTCAGGGCACCCCTCGAGGCTGGGCTGGCAGAGATGCTGAGTCTGGTGTTGGACTTCAGGAGCCTCAGTGAGGAGGGCCGACGGGATGGGTGTTAATGGAGCCTGCTGAGCCTTTGAAGAGGGCAGTGCCCGTGCCTGCCAGGCTAAGGGTTAATTAGCCTTAATCATGGTGGAACCTCCTTCCTCCACCCTCTCCCTGAGGCCCAGAAAGGAAAAAAGGGAGGCAGGTGGGCAGGTGGGCAGGCAGGCAGGCAGGAAGGAGGACCCACCCCAACTGCACACATAGCCCTGCTGTTCAGGGCTCCAGGGGGTCTCATCCACCACCCACTTTAGGGATGAGGGGCACCCAACTGACATAGGGCCAAAGGGTGCTCCGCCAGGGAGGAGTAGATGGAACACTTCACTCAACCTCTGTCCTTTCACCTGATTCACACACCCCTTCAAGGCTCTAGGGCTCCCTCCCTCTGGAAGCCCTCCCGGATTGATGCTGTCTCTGGGCTCGCTGAGCCCAGCCCTGAGCACAGGTGACAGGCTAATACATCTTCTTTGCCAGGGCCCACTCATTGCCAGGTCTGGGCTCCTGGTACAGTGCCCTGTACTCAGGGGGGCTCTTGTTGAATGAATAGTTTGTTGCGTGAACAAGCGAAGCCTGTCTCTGTTGTGGAGGAGCCTTCTCCCAGAGGGGAGGCAGGAGCTGAAAGGAGTCCATGCAGGGGGGGGCGGGGGGAGGGCTCATTCTAGCTGGTGGACATCTCGTGGAAGGGCTTGGAGTGGGCAGGACTGGCCAGGTCCCTGGAGGAGTGGGCCACATCAAGGAGAAAGCCGGAGCTGGGGCAGCATGCAGGGCACACAGTAGTGGCGAGGTGGGGTGGAGGGAGTGGTAAAGGAAGGGCCTCTGTGACCAGCACACCCTCTGCCTGCCCATAGGCTGGTCATCATCGTGCTCATCGGCGTGAGCGTGGCCTGGATCCCTGTCCTGCAGGGCTCCAACAGCGGGCAGGTCTTCAGCTACATGCAGTCAGTGACCAGCTCCCTGGCCCCCCCAGTGACAGCGGTCTTCGTCCTGGGCGTCTTCTGGAGGCGTGCCAACGAGCAGGTGGGTGGGAGGAGAGCTGGGGTGAAGACGAGATATGGGGGCCGGGCTCCTCGGTTCCTTTCTGGGATGGGCGGCAGCTTGTTTGAATCTTCCCCTGCCGCCTGTGTGCGGCTGGGAGAACCCTGGCCCTCCCCCGTGGCCCCAGCTGCCCTGCCTCCTGTCCCCAGGGGGCCTTCTGGGGCCTGATGGCGGGGCTGGCGGTGGGTGCCTCAAGGCTGGTCCTGGAGTTCCTATACCCAGCCCCTCCCTGTGGCGACGTGGACACTCGGCCGGCCGTCCTGGGCAGCATCCACTACCTGCACTTCGCTGTTGCCCTCTTTGCACTCAGTGGGGCTGTGGTGGTGACTGGGAGCCTGCTGACACCCCCACCTCCGGCGGCTCAGGTAAGCCTGCCCTGACCCTGGCACCGACCCCTGTCCATCTCTGACTCAAGTTCCATTCTGACCCCTGGCCCTCTCTGACTCAAGAACTGTCTAGCTTTTGACTTCTAACCCAGTCTGGCCCTGGCCCCTGGCCCTTTTTAACTCAGCTGCTCTCTTTCGTCACTGACCTCTGATCCCATTTGGGTCTACCTCTCCACCCCACCCTGCCCCCCATCCTGCCACACCCCCGTCCCTATGCATTTCCTGCAGATCCGGAACCTTACCTGGTGGACTCTGGCAAAGGACTGGCCCCCAGGAGCCAAAACAGGTATGAATGTGGCCCTAGGCACCCCTTGCTCCACCCCTGGGGCTGGGGTTGGAGGAGTGGGGCACCAGGTGTGGCCCTGTGACCCTCATCTGTCCCTCTCTCCCCACCCCCTTCAGGTGACACCAAGAAGCAAGCTTTCTGGGCCCGTGTCTGTGGCATCAATGCCATCCTTCTCATGTGCGTCAACATCTTCTTCTATGCCTACTTCGCCTGATGTTGCCCTCTGGGCAGGCCTCAGAGCCTTGAGGGCCACCCCATGCCTAATGAGGACACCAAGACCCAAAGAAGGGTACATGGCAGGTCACTGCCCAGGGGCCTGACCCAGCCAGCCAAGCAGGAGCCTGAAAAATTAGGAAGAAAATAGGAGAAAAGAATGTGATACTTCAGAAATGGTGCTCATAATGGGAAAGCAAATCAGATTCCCGATGGACATCCTTACACTGTGTTCCTGTTTTTTATTTTGAGTACATGGGTCCAGGGCAGGGCAGCACAATCTGATGGGGCTCAGGGCCCGAAGGGGCTCAGGCCACCCCTGGGCATAGGGACAGCCCCCTCCGTGGGCCCCCCACTATGCCATCTGCTGCCAGCTGCTGCAGGAGCCCCTCTGCCTCCCTCCCTCCACCGCCCCCCCACCAGCCGGGCACCAGAGCCGTTTCCCACTTCCCCTCACTCTTCCTGCTCCCCAAAGGGCCCGGACTCCGGGCAGGTGCTGCTCAGTAACCCCTGCTGGGTGCACATTCCATGAGGACACCCTGTCTTTTCTCAAGCTAGAGCCCCACCCAGACTGCCCACCCCATTCTGGATGCTGCTGGACTTCAGGTCCAACTCCCACCGGGCCTGCAGCTCCCCAAGCTCCCCGGGGCTGGGGCAGAGCCTGGGCCTTAACCGAGCCTCTCAGGTGGCAGCGTCTGAGGTCCCCTCAGGGCTCATCCACTCGAGAGGAGCAGCTGCTTCCATCTCTGTCACCACTACAGCCCCTCCTCAGGGCCTCCAGCCCCTCCCCAAAGTGTCTGTGGTGGGGTGAAGGTGTTGGATGCCCCGTGGAGCCGTTATTGTGGGGCCATGGAAAAGTCTCCGCTGGAGTCTGAAAGTGAGTGCGGGTCAACAGGTCCTCAGCGCCCTTGCCTGTCCCATATATCAAAGCCACCTCCCCGGTAGCCAGAACCCTCAAGGATCCTTTTGAGGGAGGGGCAACCCAAGGTGAACCCACCTATGCCCATGGTTCCTTGGATTGAGCCCCTAATAGGTGGAGCCCAGGGGCCCTCATCCGTCTCTGGGGATGGGCCATCGATGATGGAAGTGGGCTGGGCCTCTGCCAGCCCACCCTAAGACGTCACAAAACTGGTAACCAATGGAAAGAGGCCAGTGGGAAACCCCAGGAACTCCCGTTGCCTGGTGGGTAGTGAACGTCATGGATGTGGGCACCTGGGGCAGTTCCAGTTCATGGGGAGCAGTGGAGGCTGCGCTGGGCTGGGCAGTTAGAGGTCATGTTCCTGTCCAAGGCCCTTGGCTGAGCCCCAGGTGTGTCCGTGGTCTCTCTCTGGACTTCAGAGCCCAGTGGACAGACGGTTCTTCCAACCCTGCCCCTGGGCCGCACTCCGGTCAGAGGTGCACGGGCTGGACGTAGCTCCTTGGGAAGAAACCAATGTGCCCGCAGAACCGGCCTCGCCACCAGTGGGGGTCCAGCTGCTCCAGGACCTCGATGATGTCACCGCGGCGGAAGCTGAGCTGTGAGGGGTCCTGGGCCATGAAGTCAAACTGGGCCTGGGCAAAGCAGGCCTGGGGTGACTGCAAGCAGATAAAGTCGTCAGCGGGGTACTTCAGGGGCCCTAACCGCAGAAGTGATTCGCCAGGGGTTGGGAAGGGCAAAGTTCTCAAGGCAGAACTGAGGTTGAACTTGCTTGTGCCCCCACGGCCAGGGTGAGTGGGCTCCGCCCAGGGGCTCCTGCTGCCCGCCCCTGCAGTGTGCCATGCAGACACTGCGTCTGCACAGAAAACGGTCCCGGTGGCTCAGCTGGGACCTGAGTGCTGAGGGTGGGTCCCTGCCCCGGGGTCTCATCTCCCTGCTCTGCAGCAGCCTTCATGACTGTGACTCCAGGGCCTGGAGCTGCAGGAACCACAGAGTCTTATGAACTGTAGTGATGTGAGCTGAGAACACAGTTTACTGCTGCTGCCCTTGGCCAGGCTTTGAGAGAGAAGATGTCACTTTGAGCTGCTCCCAGCTCTCGGGCCTGGGTTCCAGTCCTACCTATGCCCCAAAGTGACCTTGGGTACGTCCATGCCCTTTGTGGGACTCAGTTTCCCCACCTGCGAATGGCATCTGGACCAGGGCTCTCTGAGGTGCATCAGCCTGACACCAGGACAACGACGCCCAGCACCAGGCTCTCCCGCCCCACCAGGATCTCTGCCTGAGCCTTCAGAATCTCCCCCAAGACGGGCGATAGGATCAATGAACAGGCTGTAATTAGGAGTCTCGGCCCAGGAAGGAGGAGGCGGCATGGGTCCCGAGAGACTGAGCCAGCTCTAGAATCTCCCCACAGGGCAGGCGATGCCAGGGCTGAGCCAGAGTGTGGCCTCAGCTCCATCCTGGCTCCCTCACACTCTTCAAGGTCAAAACTGGGTAAGGCAGTGATGGGTGTGGAGGTCTGGGGTCCAGAGGGGGAGACTTCACTGCTGATCTGATCCCAGGGTCAGGCTGAGGAGGCTGAGCCTCCTGGAGGGACAGAGGGAGCCCTATGGGGGTCTACTCTCCTGGAATGTCACATCTCAGGGCTCATCGTATTGGACAGAGAGGAAACTGAGGCCCAGCTGAGGGATGTGCCGGCCCTGATGAACTGGGCAGGACGGAGGTTCTCTGTGTCAGTCCGTCGGCCCCTCCTCAGGCCTCGGCCATGGCCATACTCCCTGTGCCCTCTGCAGAGCCTAAGTTTAACTGGGTCGTAATCTCTAGCCCCAGGCCTTGCCGACACCCCCTTTCCAAGGAAAATAGCACATGGGGGCTAATTACCCCATTAGCTGGTGTCATCATCCTAATGAGAACTGGTCCTCAGGACCCCTTGATGAAAGGGTTAGCTGGCAAATTGCTGTTATTGTGAGGACAAGTGGCAGCCAACACCCCCCACCACCACCACGCACACACCTTGTGTCTGGCCAGAACCTCACCCACACCGCCCCACACCCCACCCACGGCCAGCACCTCAGGAGCAACCTAGTTGGTAGCCTTGGATGAGTCACATCACTCTCCGAGCCTCAGTTTCCTCGCCTGTACAATGGGGACAATAAAGCTCCCAGTGCAGAGCCCAGTGCAGTACTACGTGGCACTCAGTAGGCTCCGTAGGTGTCAGTACCTTCAGTCATTCAACAAACATGCATTGAGCACCTACTGTGTGCCAGGCACTAAGAATGAGCCAGACACAGTTTGCCCCATGGAATTTCCAGTCTGCTCCTTCCTTCCCTTCCCTCTTCTGCTTCCCACCCTTGCCAGTTTCACGGCAGTGCCACCAGAATAGAACTTCACGGCCTGGGCTGGACCCCTCCTCCCAGGATGTGGGGCTGCTGGGCCCCAGCAGGCGTCGTCGCCCCTTTGCCCGCCTACCTTGAGCAGGGACTCTTCATCCCGCAGGAAGACCTGGCGCTTCTTGGCGATAGTGGTGGTGTGGTAGAAGTCGACCAGCTCGTTGAGGGAGTTGAACTTCTCCTCCCATAGGAAGTACTTCCCCGAGGGCTCCCGCAGCACCTTGAAGTGCTGCACCTGGTCCCCGTAGCTAGGGGAGAGGACCCGCAGTCACCTCTGAGGGGCCCCCCGGCAGCCAGGGACCACTCCCAGCCCAGCACAGCCCTGGCTCAGGAGCAGGCGGGAGGAGAGTCCCCGGCCCGCTGACCTGGTGAGCACCCACCAGCAGCAGAGGATGGAGTGAAGGGTGCGGACCCTGGAGCAGGCCACTTTCTTGCTGTGTGACTTTAGGCAAATAACTTCTCTGAACCTCAGTTTCCTCATAGTAACACTTCCCTCTGGGTAAGTGCTCAGAAAATGCTGTCTGAGGTCATTAGAAAGCATTTCCTTTCTAACATCCCTCTCAGCCTTCACTTTCTTCCCCTCCTCTGTTCCCTCCCAGCCACTTGAGAAATGAACCCTAACACCACCCTGACTCACACCAGAGCCTATCCGTGTGAGAGGAGCTTAGGCCTGCTGGATGCTTCATGTCCTTCCCACCTGCACCCACCTCAGGAACCTTCTGTGGCTACCCAATACCCTCAGGATAAAATATACTTCAGACTCAAGATTTGCCTCTGAGCCCTAGCCTGTGTGGTTCAGTGGGTTGAGCATCATCCCATGCACCAGGTTGCCAGTTCGATTCCCAGTTGGGGTACATGCCTGGACTATGGGCTTGATCCCCGGTAGGGAGCATGCTGGAAGCAGCCAAATGATGTTTCTCTCTGTCTCTTTTCCTCTCCCACTCTCTCTAAAATCAACTTAAAACAAAAACACAACATTTAAAAATAAAAGATTTGGCCTTGGCCAGTTTTGTTCAGTGGTTAGAGTGTTGGCCCACGGACCAGTGAGTCGCGGGGTCAATTCCAATCAAGGGCATGTACCTTGGTTGCGGTTCATCCCCAGCCCTGGTCAGGTCCTGCTGGAGGCAACCAGCCGATGTGTCCCTCCCACATTGATGTTCCTCTCTCTACCTCCCTCCCACTTTATCTAGATGATAAACAGAAAAATATCCTTGGGTGAGGATTTAAAACTATTTTAAAAAATAAAAGATTTGGCTCTAATTACATATCCAGCCTCATTTACCTAATATGATCTCTGATGCAATCAGTGAGTCCCTTTGTCGCCTCCCGCCGACCACCAAATCCTCTCACGTGCCTCTCCCAAACCAGCCGGAGAGGAGGAGCCTGCTCCGCTCAGACTGGCCGGGCCCGCCCAGCGCCCTCCCACACGACGCATAGCTCACGCCAGGACCAGCCATGCAGAATCGAGGCCAGAGGTGGTGCCAGGGCAGGTCAGGACAACGGGTAGCACAAGCCACCGTGCTCCCCTCCCTGCGCAGGGTGGCCAGGCCCACCACATGGTGGAGAGGAACCAACAGGACCCTTTTTGCAGCAGGAAAACTGGGGCCCTGAGTGCAGCCATGACCTGCCCAGAGTCACACAGCAGCAAAGGCCAGAGCTGGGGCCAATCTGAACTCCTACATGTCAGGCGTCACTCTAAAGTGACTGGTAGCCCGGCCGGTGTAGCTCAGTTGTTGAGCGTCGACCCTGCACCAAGAGGTCGCCGGTTCAATTCCCAGTCAGGGCACATGCCCAGGTTGTGGGCCCGATCTCCAGTGGGGGACATTCAGGAGGCGGCCGATTGATGTTCTCTCTCATCAATGTTTCTCTCTCTCTCTCCCTCTTCCTTCCTCTCTCTCTAAAATCAATAACAAAAAAAAAAAAAAAAGAAAAACAACTTAAAAAAAATAAAGTGACTGGTAATCACTGTATAACAGTAGCAATAACTCTGATCCTAACTGTGCGATCGGTAGGGCCCCAGTCCCGCACTCCTGTGTCGCTACCTGGCTGTGACCCCCAGGGAGCCTTCTCTCGTCCTCTCTGCCTGACAAACCAGTCAGCTCTCCTGGACGCCACCCCAGCTCCTTCTCTGGCCTCCGTGTCCCCACCCGCCCAGATGGGGGCGGGGGGTCCCTGATACACTCCTCACAGTGAGGCGAGAGAGGCCTGGGGCCCTGGGCTGTGCAGGGGTCACCAACAGGGCCGCCCAGAGCCCACCTGGCCAGGCTGGCGGCCCCAGGTCCCCACCAGGAAGAAGCCAGTTTAGGAAGCTGCCCACAGGAGGGTGTCCTGCCCAGGTGGCTGGTGGGGCTGACAACTGGGAAAGCCTGGGACCTCTGGGCATGGCCAGGTGCGTGAGCTGGGACGGAGGACGGCCACTGGGAGGGAGGTGGGCCCCTGGCCGCCTCCGCTACAGGCTGTGCTCTCATTTCGTTGGGACTAAAGAACTAAATGCAGGTCTGGAAACTCGATAGTAAAAAGAAAAAAAATACCTCTTGGGTTCAAAATTTAAAATGTTTTAAACAATTTTGGACATGGTGCACTTATAAGCCGGGGTTAGCCCGTGGCCTAGCTTCTCTCTAGGCAGACTCACAAGGCAATCGTCCCCGAGGCCTGAACAGGAGTCCGGTGACTGTCCCCACTGCCCAGGCCTGCTGCCCTCTGTCCCACCCCTGCCTGCTGCTCGGCTCCTCCAGCTGTCATCCTGGGGCTGGGGTGCTACTTGGTTAAAAGTTTAAAGAAAAAGAGTTGTTTAAGGTAAATACCTCATGATCTGGGGGACAGAGGGCAAAGTGGGATTCCCCTCCCCTGTTCAAGTCAAGGGTTCCCAACTATACAGACCCTCTCTTTCCACCTTTAAACACACCCCCATGCCTTTGTATATATTACTCCCTCTAAATTCTTCTCAATCAAACTTCTACTCATAAGTCAAGACCCGGGTAAAATGGCCCAGCCTCTGCGAGCTGCCTCAGACCCCTCAGGCAGAGTCGGGGCTTTGTGGGTTCCCCAGCCCTTGTACAGCCTTGTAACCACGTGACCACATGACCTACACACCAGACACTGAAAGCAGGAGGTAGGAGTCCCTAAGGGCCTAGCCCAGGTGGGAGGGGCTGGACTCGGGTAATGGGGTGTCATAGCCCAAGGCTTAAGTACTTATTAGGGTGCTTTGTTTTTGAAACTCTCCTCTGTAGCTCTGAGCTGTGATGCCGGCCCTCCAAGAGTCCGGACCCTGGCGCAGGCCCAATGCCCGCTCTATGACGTGACAGCTGCCAGGGTGGCTGAGCACCAAGTCAGCTCCCACCACAGAACTGAGGCTAGAAAACACCTGAGGCTGTGTCCAGGTGGAGCAATGAGCCCCGAACCCAAGACAAGGCCACTTGTGTGCCATCAGCAAGCATTGTTCCCAGGTGACTAAGCTACCTGTGTTGTTGGCTGTGAGACACACCTATTCATGTCCCTGGGATGGAAGAGGGAGAGCAAGTGGACAGTGCGTCCCACCCTGTCTGGCCTGCAGCTCCCTGAGGCCACAAACTCCCCTTGAAGCTGCCTCTGAGCCCAGCAACTTCCTGGTGTCCTGGCCCTCCCAGGGACAGTCCCCAGCTCCGGACTCTGGCTGTGGTGTACCGGAGGGGTGTCAAACAAGCAGCAGAGTGAGGAGACCAACAGCCAGGCAGGTGAGAAGCCAGGAAACAGGTACCCCAATGACTCCATGTCTGAGCCGCCTGGTGCAGAGGCAGAAGGCCCTGAGGTTATCCTCAGTTATCTGGAAAGTTATTCAAAACAAAGCATTCTCGCCCCGGCCAGTGTGGCTCAGTGGACTGAGTGTCGCCCCATGTACCAAAAGGTTGCTGGTTTGATTCCTGGCCGGGGCACATGCCTAGGTTAGGGGCTCAATCCCTGGTAGTGGGCGTGCAGGAGGCAGCCGATCGATGTTTGGCTCTCATGTTGATGTTTCTTTCTCTCTCTCCCTCTCCCTCAGTCTCTAAAAAAAAAAAAAATCAATAAAAATAATTTTTAAATAACACACACACACACACAGCATTCTATGATCCTACAAGAGGGTCAGGGAGTGGAGAGCAGGAGAAGAGATGTGGGAAAGGGACAAGGGACCCAGGACTTCTAGAACCTGCCAACCTGAAAATTCAAGAATTCTCACGTCTGGGAAGCTTGCATGTTCCAGCCCCGAGTCTATGCATGGTGCTCAGTCAAAGGCAGGTCCTTCTCCCACCAGGTCCAAACTTCCTGTTCTCCAGCGCGACAGGGGCAGCCTGGAGCCGGGCAGCGGCGCAGGACACGCCGCGCTGTGGGCCATGCGCGTGGCTGCTGTGGGCTTGTCCCTGGCCTGGTCTGTGGCCACAGCTGTCTGAGGCCAGACAGGCATGTCATCTGATGACCCCAAGGACTCTGCACCTGGGGCAGTCTCTCTCCCAGCCAGCCTGTCTCCCAGACTCCCCAGGCCTTCACCTGTGACTCTCACCAGGAATCTTTTTCCTTTTTCTCTGCCTGGTCTTGGCCTTAAACATCCTTCAAGGCTTCTGAGAACTCCTCAACCAGGGCTGCCCTCTGTGGACGCTCCAGACCTCGCACCCCCAGGCCCAGGGGAGCAGCAAGGTCAGTAGGGGAAACCGAGTCTGCGTACAGTCAGCCCTACTGGGAAGCCGTCTTGAGCAGCAGAGGAAAGTCCTGCCCAGAGGGGGGTCTGAGCCTGCGTGGGGCCTGAAGAGGGGCACCTGGAGCTGGTCCGGGACAGTGGACAGTGCCAGGTGTCTGTCCCCATTGTGCCCGGGCATGTATGTTGTGACCATATGTATGCGTGTGACCGTGTGTGTGTGTGTGTGTGTGTGTGTGTGTGACTATGTGTGCGTCCCTGTCTGAGCAGCTCTGGTATTTTCTCTGTGTGTGACCCGCACACCCTCTTACCCAGGGCACGAGAGGCTGGGCTGGCTCCAGGGCTGTCTATCGAGAAAGCCCCAAGGATCAAGTTAGGCCTGATGCTAGCAGCAGCCAGTCCTGCCCAGCAAGTTTTTCTGGCTTAGTGGCGGCAGCAGCAAAGGTGACAGTGACAGCCCAGAGAGGGTAAAGCAAGGCCGGGGTGAGGCCAGGAGCACCGGACAACCTGCGCGCAGGCCCACTGGGTGGTCTCGATTAGGCTTGGGCCTTCTCTAGCTTCGGTTTTCCCACCTGTGAAAAGGGAGAGCACGGAACTACA